GAAGGTGGCAGGCTTTAGATTATGCTCGATTGAATCACAGTACGATTTCTTTCTTCAATGTTCCTCAACCGGAGACGGCGGTTTCACGGTGGAATCGCATCACTTTAAATGCTTCCAAGGTAGCCTCACAATTTTAATTTCTATTACGAGTATATAAATTGCTAAACTTCAAGGGTTCACCCGCCGTGCTACAATTTTTTGCGTCAACCTAAACAGTTGAATTTTTTTTTGCATAAAGTATATATTTACTACTTGCTTCGTCCTAGTTTATGCGAAAATACTTTTGAAATTTGTGATCAACAACACTCCTTGATCATTCCTTTCACTATTTTATTTCTAATTATAAAAATGTGACATTTTTAGGTGGATTAAAAGGTAAAGTGTGTCACGTAGATTAGTTCGGGTAGTATAAAGTTACTCTGATTTCTAGAACAAAAAAAGATAAGGAGTGTAGTAATGGCCTGCACTTACCGTGGAACAACCTCTACTTTATGTTATCTTAATCTTATCTTTAAGAGACAATAACTATTATTAGGCTATCGAATGATTGAATTGTAAGTTTGGATTTATTAATTGGAATATTGGGTGAGTCACTAAACAGTCATGACCCAATCTACAGTTCATGACACCCAAAAAAAAACACCAAAGAGGGGTCTTTTCTATACAGAATGGAGTGGTTAAAATTACTGAAAGAGAAATATGCAGAACAAGCCAAATCCAGAAAGAGAAAGGAAATGTTTTTAAAAATAAATTTAATAGTGAGAAAGTGATGCACATCAAATCAAATAAAAAAGATATTCTTCTCTTTATAGATAAAAATATAAAATTTGTGATTAGCGTAGCGAGAAGAATATTAGCATGTAAAAAGTTGATTGTGACAAACAACTTCTCAGTTCCAAACAAGTCGGGGTCAACTACATGAATCCCACTTTCATTTAAGCTAATTTTGTCACCTCATGTAAAAAGCTAATCAACTTTTTTCTTTTATTTTGACGATTTTCTTAGCTCAAGTTAGTTAAAACTTTTGAAGGTTAATTCTGTATTCGTTTTGGCCAGGTTGGTAAGGGATTGTCAAGAGATGGAAAGGCCCAGAAACTAGCTTTTCAGCATTGGATTGAGGCAGTGAGTCACTTCCCACTGCTGCTTTATTTGAATGTACCCCATTAACATTTAACATCATTGGTGTTTGTATTTTTCTGACCTTAGTTTTGTGGTAACTGTAGATTGACCCACGCCACCGTTATGGGCATAACTTGCACATGTACTATAAAGAATGGTGTAAAACTGATGCTGGTCAGCCATTTTTCTTTTGGTAAGAAAGCTGAATGCTGGAATTGGTACATGACAAAATTTGTATGGTATATATTGAGGTGGTAAATAATGGGGGATGGCAGCTCTATCCCATCATTTTTGGGTTGAAACCACATTTTTGTGTGTATTTTTACTGCTTCTGGTTTTTCCTGGCTTTGCTTTTTAGGAACTGTTGCAAATTTTTGCTTTTTCCTTAATGGTGGAATTCATGACTAGTGACGATCATTACAAAGGGCGATGTGCTAATTCTTGGAGAAAAATATCAATATATTGTTTATGTAGCTTTTCCTTTATACTTGTTGAATAAGGTTCTAGAAGAATTACAAATGAGAAACGCTCCAGAAAATGTTATATAGTCCTACTAAAACAAGTAATATTAAAATATTAGTGGAACAGTTTGTTTGATTTGCATTCGCGTCAATAAGATATAATCTACATAAATGCAAATGTATTTTGACATTAGTGGTTATTCCATGTTTTTACAGTTCTAATATGTACAGGAAGTTGATGCATCAATTTACTGCATGGGCGGTTGACTAATCTTGTGCTACTTTAGTATGAAGTCTAGAACATTGCGCATTGTTGGGTTCTGTTTTCATTTGACTGCAGTTTTTGTACAATATGGATAATGCAACATGATTTATGAAGTTACTTGTAAGAAATAGTCGGCAGTAACTTATTTTCTGGAACATGTGCAGGTTGGATCTTGGAGATGGCAAAAAGGTTGAGCTCAAAGAATGTCCGAGATCTAAGCTTCAGAAACAAAGTATCAAGTATCTTGGACCTGTATGTGCTGACTCTTTTGTTGCTTATTACAATGCAAATCACAATGTTTAGCATCAGTATACAAATGGCTTCTCATATATATGTGCTGATGTTGGCTTGTCTTTACTGATAGTCTCATACATATGATTTGCTCTATCGTATAACATGTAATATTAATTATACTTCTATTGCATGTTTTCATATGTACATAATTCTACATAATTTCCTTAGTCACATTGATTGATATCGCCTTGCAACTCCTAATTGCTCTGTTATCTTTCTGTTATCAGCAAGAGAGAGAACATTATGAATATGTAGTGGCCGAAGGGAAAATACTTCATAGCCTAACTGGAAATCATCTTGATACAACCAATGGGTTGCCCGGGGCAAAATGGATTTTTGTAATGAGCACCTCAAAGAGACTCTATGCTGGCGAGGTGAGTGGTAAAAGTTACTACATAAATGCTTTTATGATGATTATCCTGCAAATTGTTTTTCCTCTGTTAACGTGAAAGGTTTGTTATTCTAATGCCTTTCAGAAGAAGAAAGGAATATTTCATCATTCCAGCTTTCTTGCTGGTGGGGCTACTTTAGCTGCTGGAAGACTAGTGGTAAAAGATGGGATACTTAAGGTAAATATCTGTTACATCGTTTTACTATCTTTAGATTGTATATGTCTGACTTCGAAACTATGTCGAGATCTAAATGCAGGAGTCATTTCTTCTCAGCTTTATGAAACACTAATTATGTCTATGGATTCGAAAAACACTTTCTACTCCGCATTAATATACTTGAATTGTTCAATGACATACCACCTTCTGCAGAATTTCTTAATTTGCATATAGAGAATTAGAAGCTCTATGAAGAGAAAATTGCCATCCCTTTTGTTTCGATATCTGTTCTCAAGCCTATTGTTCTGATGTTGTGTTTGCAAATGAAAGGTAAGAAAGAGAATGTATAATTCCCACCTGAATCATAAGCGTGTAGCTTGAAAGCCAAACCTTAGTCTCTGCTCTCCGTGTTTAGGTTGCACACTTCTGTGCTCTGACATTTTATTTTTTTCCAGTCTATTTCAGCATATAGTGGGCATTATCGGCCAACTGATGATAGCCTCGACAGCTTCTTATCATTTCTGAAGGAAAATGGAGTCAACCTGGAAGAGACTGAGGTTAGTGATTTCTGAGTCTTTTGTACTTCCAGATTACTTTCTAACTGTTATAGTCTACTCTGCATATGATTTAGCTTATAAATGGTTGTGATTAGTTATCCCATTCTGAATTGAGTTAATACTCGTCATTTTTATCTATTATCAGATAAAAAAGCCAAGAGATGATGATGAGAGCTATGAAGAGGGAAATTCATCTGAGAGTCGCTCTGCGTCTGATCTTTCAACTATATCAGAATCCCTTCAAGTTGATTTACAGAAGGAAGAGGAAAAAGACTTCTCCTCAAAATTAGTGATAAGTCCACAAGCTGAAAAGGCAAGTAACTATAAGAGAACACTCTCGGGTGGTCTTGAGAGCCCGAGAGCTGAGGTGCCAAAAACTGCAATACTGCAAAGGATTAATTCAAAGAAGTTATCAAAGTCATATCAACTGGGTCATCAACTCTCCCTGGCATGGTCAACAGGTGCAGGTCCAAGAATTGGATGCATTAACGACTACCCGGTTGAACTAAGGGAACAGGCCTTAGAACTGACACACCTCTCACCAAGACCTCGTTCTGCATCATCAACTCCTAGGCCGATTGGTGCAATGGTGATGTAATGCACTTCTGAAAAGCCTTGGTCATTTTCGATCTTTTCTGCAAACAAGCTGTAGTGTGTGCAAAGTAGTAGTTACTTCATTTTGGTCTTCTGTTTTCCAACCTGCTGTTAGTTTACCTTTTTATTAGCAAGAATGTAATAGGACCTCTTGTTCTCATTGTTAGGATTTAGTAGTAAGAATGTAACATGTGCAAGTTAAAATTGGAATGCTGCCATATCCATGTTGAGAAAGAGGGTAATAAGAAGGGTATATATTTCCATGTCTATCGAATCTGTCAAATTTCTCAGACATCAAAAAAATAAATTGTCATGTTATAAATATATTGCATTGTGGATGTCAAATTTAAGTACACTTATAACTTCATTCTAGATGTTGTTTGGTTGAGTTACTTGCAAGTTGTCTGATTGCTTGAGCTACAAAATAACTTGCTAGTAGCTCAAGCAAGCAGACAAATAAATAGCTTACAAGTAATTTTTTTAAGGCTTAAGAGTAGCTTAATTAGACAACTTGTAACTAGCTTTTCGAAAAGTCTTGCAAGAGATTCTCAAACTTAGCATCGAATATAACAAGTAGCTTAGACATGCAACTTTCAAGTACCATTTCAAAAAGCCTCACAATAGCTTTCTTTTTCTATTATAAATTGAAAGTTAAATCAATTCATTTCATGACATTTCTTTTTAACAAACTACAATGAAATTTTGGAACAGAAAAAAAGTATAAAATCGGTGATTTTCTTAATATATATTTGGATGACGCAAAATCGTAAAAAGCTGAATCTCAACATATCTGGACAATAAAGTCATTTGATATCCCAAACTCATCGCCGCACCTTTTGTGATGTTCGAAGTTTGTATGGGATACATTATAGGATTTTTATTAGAGATAACGTTCTCAATAAAATTTTCTTCTATATACAGAACTTGAACACGAAATCTTTGATTAAGAAAGAAGCAATTTCAATTCATTTTGATATTTTGTGATGGTTAAAATAAGAAAAAAATTCAAAATGCCATCTTACAATGATCTGCAGGAAACACCTGTCGTGTCCAGATACAGAGTTTGTCAACCATCAGATTCGTGTCCCAGTGATCTGGCGGACACGTGTCACTTCCTCATCCCTCCTCTTCCCTTTTTCCCCTCTTTTTATGCTCTCTGTTTTCTCCTCTTCCCTCAACACTCTCTTCTTCGATTCTACCCTATGAACACTGATTTTACATGCCAAACGACGCCGTCATGCACGGCGGCCGAGAAATTTTCCGGCGAACTGGTGGAATGCGAGTGGGTAGCAGCGGAGGCGTTAACTTATTTGTCTGATCCAGTGGCTCGAGATC